CCTATCTGGTGTGATTTATTGGGCTTGCATGCCAGGTAAAGGACCTGAGCTTTCTGGGACAACATCAGGGAACTCTTTCCCTCATCATTTTACTTTTAGAACAATCCTGCGAGATAAGTTCGGTTGGGAGTTATTCAGGAAATACCACGGCTGAATCTCTCAAACACAATCGCATGAAAATACAGCCTGTCCACAGAGGTCATTCTCTGGAGTGATGGGAGATGACTGAGGAGGAATTGAGGAACTTATACTAAATATACTAATGCTGATCTTCATTCTGTATTGCTTATTTGAAAGGAACAGAAGCTAGAGAGAGACTGCCCGACAGCCAGTGCTAAATCAGTTGTGGGTGAAGGGTGACCCTCCAGCGGTTGCTGGGCTGCACTTCCTTTCATCCCACCCCACAGGCCATCCAATCCAAGTTCAATACCGTCCAGAACACCCACTGCCCTTCTCTGCAGCACAGGGAAGCCCTGCAGGGAAAGAGCTGCTCCCCAAGAAGAGCCCATCTGGGGTGCCACCGCCGCTGCGTTGAAGGGGCAAAAGGCAGGCTGGAAAGTCTCAACCCTCCTTTCTCTTGCAGCCTTACTGGCCTGGGGATTGCTGGGGTATGGCACTACCAAGAGGTGGGGCGTGGGCAGCAAGACAGCCTGGACGTTTTGTTGGCTGTATTGGAGGAGCAAATGCTCTTCTTCTCTGAGAGGAGGTAGCTAAATTGCTGTGCATGCGATGCACACACCTTTCCCTTCCCCATGCAATACCCAATTCAGTGCCCTTCCATGGTGCCTCAAATCTGCTTCTGTTACTCTTTGAGCAGAGCAGGGCAGGGCAGGGCAGCAATTCACGCTCTGCAAAGATTGGGCAAGGCACCTCACCACTGCACTCCCTCACCGTTCCCGTGTGCTCAGCCTCCAGGCACTGCAATGGTGTCAGCCTTCAAGACCAGGAAACATGAGGGCCTGAGAGTCGTGGGAGGAAACAAAATCTGGAAATCCTGCCAGAGCTACTGTACTTCAACTTATACCTAACCAAATCAAGGTAGATTGTTTTAAGTTTCTTTCTCACACTTTCTACTTTCCCAGGACTCAAATACATTTTTTCTGTAATGGATGGCATTCTCCTCCCCCTTCCCTGAGTCAAACTGACATTCTTTCGTAAGCGGGGAGGAAACTTGGAGGAATGTTCTCATGAACAAAATCTGGATCTCCAAAAGAACTAACATTATGGGCCTAGCCACAGCAGAGGTGGAATTGGGGAGATGGGGTGAGAACTGCATTGTACGTTGGGGGTGAAAGAGAAACGAGACACTCCAGAAGCGAGAACAAAGATGGAAGTGCTCCCCCACTCCATGTCGGTTGGGATAACGAGGAAGTCAGGTTGCAGAAGACCGGCATCTTGCGCATATTTTGAATCAAGCAGACAAATCAAGAAGAGTAGCAACACAAAAGAAAAAGAGCAAGCTACCCAGGTGTGAATTTGCTGAGTTTCAGCATGAAACTGAGCAAGCTCAGGGAGGCAGTGAAGGACAGGAAGGCCTGGCGCAATATGGTTCAGGGGCCACGAAGAGTCGGACACGACTTAACGACTGAACAACAACAGCAACAACAACACCCATGTGTGCATAATTATGCAAACCAACCCACCCCACCCTAAGAAACCTCTAAGTTGCTGGGGAAATCCTCCAGGCCTCCTAAGAGCTCCAGCTCCTGAGGGCTGTTGTAGGAGGAAAGTAACTTCTTATCCCTTCTCAGTACAGCTTCAGGAAAGACTCACCTTCCAGTGCAGAGTTGGGGGCTTGCAAGTATCCAGCTATTAGTTCATTATTCTGAAGGTAGATGGATTTCTGGTTTACATCCCAGAGTCTGAAATGCCAAGGTTTGTCTTTTAAAAGAAAAATCCTATTTTTTTCTCTCTTCAGCCACAAACTTCAGCAGTACACAGTAGCCTCCTCCTCGACAGGCGGGTCCAAATGCCTTCTTGCTGACCTCAAAAACTATCTGCTTATTACAAGCTGCGGTTCATCCACCCCCAACCCCTGCCTTCGCCCACTCACTCAAACCACCTTTTGGCAGGAAAGGCAGACTCACCCGGAGGGAGATCAAAGCCAGACTCCTCATATTCATAATGGGAAAAGAAAACACACTGAACCCTAAGTACATATACCACCCACTCCATTTGTGGTTTGGGGCAGCTTACAAAATCTGAAATCAATAAAATTAAAAACTGTTAAATAAAAACACTAGTCAAGAAAGCAGACATGTTTTAAATCCCTTTTCTAAAGCATAACAAGGAGAACAGCTCCCATTCCAGTGGCAAATTCTTTCATAGCACAGATTTCACCATGGAAAAATACTTACCGATGCTAAACGCATTCATAGTGGGACCTACAACCTGTGCCTCACTAAGGGTCTCAAAGTTGTGGGGCAGAATATTATAGTGATGCCATGACAGAGTGGAGGAGGAACGTCAATCTTTCCTTCTAAAGGAAACAGATTTTTGGGCAGAAGAACATTGTTTTCAGAACCATCCCCACCCATTCAGAGATTCATTTCTTTAGATCAGAATCCTTTTGTCTCAAGAGCACAGGGCATCCAGTTTTCAGGGAAATGAGTGTTTCTGGAAAAAATCTAGCTCAGTGGGACTCAGTTCCCTTGTCTGTTAGGCATTTGGTTCCTTGCCTGGAGGCGAGAGACCGGGGAGAGACCTTCCTGCGCTTGGGGCAACGCACAATGACTTTGTACGCTCCTGGGGGTCTCCCCAACAGCCTCTCTGCCTGCCTGGCCAAGCTGTTAGAACTGCTCACCAAGGAGCTCCGAACACTTACCGCGACTTGAAGATGGCTCCCTGGGCCCAGACCTCATTTCCATCTGCGCACAGAACAGAAAGGAGGAAGAGGATAATTTTATTTGTTGGGGACCTGCAAGACTCCATTGTGTGTCATGAGTCGATCATTTCTGCTGCATCAGCCCAGCTTTTTTATAGAGCCCATGACAACCACATAATTGGAATGTACATTATTGCCGGACATCAGTTATGTAGCTGTGACATAACCCACTAAATTTCCAACAGCATTAGTGTGTGTTGCAATTCATGTTGCAACTTTGGGTGCTGAAACTAAACTTCCTGAAGTAATAGCACCAGTTCCTATTGCTATATACGTATAAAGGGGAAATGAAACCACAGCACATAAATGAAAATATAGGTTCAGGTTGAACTTGTACCCATAACAAGGAACATAGATATTAAAAAGCTTTATTCAAAATAAATTAAGATGGGAGACATAGCCTGGAACTCTTATTACCAAATAATGTAGAGTTCTCAAAGATATAATCTCTCTTTTAAAGTCATTAACAGTTTTCTCAGCATCCTGAGTTATTCAGATGACTTTTCGTTTCCATTTCCAAAAAGCAAATAAGTGCATCAGGACAAAGCAAGCATAAAACAAATCTGTCTCGTTCCACCAGCATGGCCTATATGAGCAACGAGTGATGACGGCCGAATTACCGCCTTCCAACTGCACCACCATACCAGACTGAGCCGGCTGCTCCTCTCTCTGTGAGTCACCCATGGCTTTCCGTTCTTACAGCTTCAACTGGAACTTCTGTGGGTTTCACCCACCAATTTATGGCACAGCCGGAAGTGTCTGAAAAGGCGTGGCCAAACCTCCAACATTTAGGTTTTAAAATGTAGATCTTGTCTGGATGGATCTCCTAAATTTGATAGAAATTTTAAATACTTGTTGATTCTGATAGATGATTCTTACTCTGTTGTCTACTTTTGTTGAACATCAGCGACGGATTCAATTCCAAAAACCGTTACGATTACTTTATATGTAGTGATTTAATGTTATTTTGAAATTTCTTGTTCAGTTTTGCACAGTATATACATCTCTTTTTCTTTCTGGTTCTTTTTTCTTTTGTTCTTCATGGTTGTGCATTATGCATCTATTGAAATTAAATTAAACATGAAAAAAGAGAAGGTGTGGCCAAGCTTGAGAATGCCCTTATGAGGCAGGCAGGGGATCTTTGCTGTTTGAGACCAGCCTTTCTGACCATCAGCCTTGAGGCTGCATCTGACCTCAGACCAGCCAGCTGCCAAGCAGATGGACCAGGGTGCCCTAGCTTGCCTGCTTACTTTCAACAACTAGTTCCTCTGAAAGTAAAGTGCAGCCAGAGATGTCACCCTGAGAATCTCTAATTCCCCTTTTTTAAAGTCATCCAATTCAGTGCCGTTGTTTATTAATTTACTTTATTAGAACGTTTCTAGACCACTCTACTTCTCATAGCTTCAGGAGGGATACACACAATTATAAAGCATATAAACAATAGCCAGTGTGACTCAGGTCTATTATCCACCCCAAAAGCTGATGAGAAAAAAATGGGTTCACTGCTTTGCAGAATGCAAGCAAAGGGCGAGCTTCCATTCCACCAAGAAGGTGGTCTCCTGTCCCTGTAAAGCTCATGTGGGGTAGTCTCGAGCAGCCCACCTTGTAAGGAGCTCGCAGGGGGACAAGTTCTGGTCTGGAGAGGTGATCCTGCAAATAGAGAGTTTGAGTTTGGTGTGGAAGCCTCTTGGGAACCGGTGCAGCGGCCTCACGGCAGATGGAACGCTGCTGAGCCTACTTCTCGTCAGCAGTTTGGCTGCTGAATCCTGCATCCATTGTAGCTTCCGAGTTATTTTCGAGGGTAGCTGGATGTGAAGTACACTTCAGTAATCTAACTGCAAGGTGAGGAGGATGTGAGTCGCTGTTGTCTATCTTGTAGTAGCAAACCTCTTAGCTTAATTAGGTCTGTTTTAAGCTTTTATCTTTATTACAGGTAGTCCTTGTTTAGCGACTGCCTCGTTTAGTGACCAGTTACAACGGCAATGAAAAAGTAACTTTGTGACCAGTCCTCACATTTACAACCTTCACAGGTCTGTAAAGCGAAGGAAAGCTGAAGGAAGATTGTAAGCACAGTCATGGTTTCACTTAGTGACCACTTTGCCCAACAACCAAGTGGCTGGTCCCAACTGTGGTCGCTAAACGAGGACTACCTGTACAGCTTTACATTTTTCTACCTTAGCAGGTTCCTTGCACGACTCGGGTCCTAGGGCGGTGAAAGAGGGAGCCCGTCACTGCCCCTTCCTCGCGTATCCTTTTCGCGTGTTTCGTGCTTCCTCCCTCTGCTTCCCTCCCCAGCCGAGAAAGGGACCGGGACCGCGG